GTCCTTCTCATACACTGGACCGACTGGGCCTGAGTATCACTTAGCCAATGATACGTGAGAATATAAAAGGAGGGAACAAGTCGCCAATCAACAGGTTTTTCCCTTGCTTTGTATTCCAGTTGTGTACAGTTATGAAATCATTTTCAACATGGTGAGCGAACGGGGCAGAGAGTGGCGAAACAAGGTTCTAGTTACTTGTTCACCTGACAAGTCGACTGAGACTGAAACACGCGAAAACTTACCTGCTCTCGATAAGAAAGGAGACGAGGAAAAACTAGATACAGGTAGTGTGAGTTCAGAAGAGTCGTTTGATAATTTTTCCCAGTCACATTCATATAATTCCTTGTCTTATTTACTAATACAACTGAACATTTATTCTGGTGATATAAGAATACAGTAATTTTTTCCCAATTCACAGAATAGTCTGTCACTCAGGTGAAGGAATGTAGGCTTTCAAAACGTTCGGGAACGAAAATATCGCAGACAACTTTGAGAGTAGTAAGGGAAATGGGTATCTCGCCTCAACTCACACAGGATTTCAACTCAACTCAAAATGACAAGGATTTAATAGAAACACCAAAGGTACAGGATTTCAACTCAAATAAAAAATTTCCTGATTACGCGTCTTTCAAAAAAGAATGTATCTTTTTATTAGGTATTGATGAATCATTTTCGTATTTAAATAAAGATTTGGATTTTATTGATGTTGAAAATGGAAGATTGAAAAAAAAAGAAGCGGATGGATTAATAAAATATATATTCAAATAAAAAAATATAAAGAAGGTTTAGATTCTGGTGTACTTAAAGATTTATCAGAAGAAGAAATAAATTTTGAAGCTTTTTCTAATATAGAAAGTGTTGAAATGATAATAAGTGAATATTTAGATCGTTATCTTGATATTAATCCAGTTGATAATAGTAAAATAAATTTAAAAAAATATGAAAAAAATGTTGACAAAGATTATCCAGGATTAAGAAAATTAATAGATACTTTGAGTTTTTACAATGAAGTAATTAAATATAAGAAAACATATAATTTTCCAGAGAGTAAAGAAAGTAAAGGAAGTATTGATTATGAAGATACAGATAGTGATAGTGATAGTGATGATTATTATAGTAAGGAAGAATTAAAACAATTTTTATATTTTAAAAATGGTCTTTATAGTGATATTGATAGCGATATTAATTTTGATAGTGATAGTGATAGTGATAGTGATAGTGATAGTGATTAAATATCCTTTAGTTTTGTATCAAAAAAATGATATAAAACTTTTATATTCTTATAAAGGGAAGGGGGTTCACAGAAAAATAAAATTGATTTTTTTTAAATAATGATTTAAAGATTTAACAATTATTAATAAAATGCAACTTACTAGTATTCAAGATTTAAATCCGCAAAGTATCATTTTTAATGAAGCAAAAGAGTATAATATCAAAGATTCGAAAATTAAATACAAACAAATTCCTATTGAAACAGTTTATCCAAATGGAAAAAAAGGTAGTCTTATTATTGAAACTCCGTTTCTTTTTTCTTTTGGACTAAATGAAAAGAAAGACCAAAATACAAACAAGTTAGTAGGTTATAGCATTCCAGTTTGCTTATGGGAAAAAGATTCCAGCCCAAATTTGAAGGAAGAACAATTTTATAAATTTTTATGCAAACTTACAGAAATTTGTCAAAAATATTTAGAAGAAGAATATGGACCTGATCTTGCTTCTTCTTTATCTGAACCATTATACTATAAACAGATTGAATATACCGACAAAAAAGGCAAAAAGAAAACAAAGAGAGACCCCTCAGCTGCACCAGTTCTTTATACAAAACTTATTTACTCGGAAAAACTAAAAAAAATTCTTTCACTTTTTCCCGTGAAAGGTAAGAAAAAAGTTAATCCTTTTAATTATCTTAACCAGTATTGTAATGTTAAAATGGCTTTGATTATAGAAGGAATATTTATTAGCAAAACTGTTACATCATTACAACTTAAAGTACACGAGTGTTATATTAAAGAATTAAAACCAAGAGAGTCTTTGTTAACAATTGAAGAAGAGGATGAAGCAAGTGAAGAAAAATTAAAAGTAAGTGATAGCGAAGCGAGTGAAGTAAGTGATACTGAGGAAAATATTGAAGATTTAGTTATTTCAGATAAAGAAGTAACTGAGTAATATTAGGATTTATTTTTAATACAAATTTTGTATTAAAAATTAACCAAATCCTTAGAACTCACCCATGAGTTAAATTTATCAGGATATCCACTCCATTTTACTAATGACAT